GGTGAGCCGAGATCGCGCCATTGCACTCCAGACTGGGTAACAAGAGTAAAACTCCGTCTCAAAAAAAAAAAAAAAAAAAAGCACATCTTGTCGGCTAAGGAACGGTTATTGTAATTCTTATAGGGAGATATAATACAGTGATACTCTCAGGATATCTACAGTTATACCACTTCCTACCTTACTGGAAAAGGCGATAGACAACTGTGGTTTGATTTGTCTGCCTTCTCTATCCTATCCTGCGTTCAGGCTGTCAGCGATCACATCTTTATTTTTTCTGCATGCTGCCTCTTACCATCCTTTGTCACCCTTCAAATCAAATAGGTAAGCTTTACAATTATATTTAGAATGAGAATACATGTTTTGTGGCTTCATCTAACTTTTTCCTTCTGAGTAAGAAGGACATGCTGTAATACAAGGGCTTTATAATATCTATTTGAGCTGTTCAGTGGCATTTTTTCATTTCCTGGAAAATGGCATTTTGAACAAGAGAATCAAGTTATACTGAATAGGAAAAGTGATGCTTTTCAATACTTCAAGGGAATTATGAGTTAACTAGGCTTGCAATGGCTGTCTTGGGTACTAAACTATCATGTATAATATTTTTAACCTAAAAAATGTATTTAAATTTCTAAATAACTGGCTCACCAGCTCCTAGAATATAGTCCATTCTTATGTTGGGAGCTTCCTTTACTCACACAGGTTTTTATTTCTCTGTTGTTGCCTGGCAACTGAGATGTGGCAAGAGATGTCAGAGGTTAAGGAGCAGACTACAGTCATTATGGAAAGCAAGCTCTTATCAGCATTTTCCATCTAACTTTGTAATCTTTGAAATAAAATAGTTTTCATTGTATTAAATGTCTGTAATTTGTTTCTTATCAAATGCCAAGTATTTAGAGACATTTTTTCTTTCTGAATATAAGTCCACTACACATGGAGAATTATAATTATGTGTATTGCTTTGAAATTTTGAAATGGGCTTCTCTATTACACTAGCATACTTTGAAGGTTAAAGTGAAAAACTGGCATTCTGAAGCCATGTACTATGCCAAAAGTAGTTGTGAACACGTTTGAAAGCATTCCAAGAAGTATCAGAAACAAATATTGGCTCTAAATAATATCCTCACTTTGAACCATTAGTTAAGGTTGAATTAAATTCTACTTCCAAATACATCGGCCTGCCTATTAAAAAATTGTTCTTTAGAGAAAGGAATGAAAAATGTTCTATAGGTTCACTTGTATCTATTTTGAAATGGGAAGGAATGTGATCAAGATTTAAGCATCATCTCTAGAGTTTATTTTTTTCAGCCTACTCTGTACCAAATGCAGGTTCCTAAGGATTTATTGCTCATGGGTGATTAATTGCATTCAGCATGGCACAGTTTAAGACTTCTTTAGTGGGGATAACACAATAGGCTTTCATAGTATTTCATTTCTAGGCAATGGGATGGTTTAATGAGTCCTAGTCCAAATTTTAAACTTTTACTAATTACTGCTATAAAGATAAAGTGACCTGAGTTAGAATCATATCCAACGTTGGTTTAAAGTGGATCCAGAGTTATTTTTGGAGAGATTTTTATTCCTGCTGGTTGATCCTCCATTTCATCTCTCAGTGAAACCACAGCTGCTATCCATTTAGGGATATGTCCTTAAATTTCATCAGGGAAAAATAACTCCACCCTTCTTCCATTCCCAAATACGTTGGCAACACTACACTCCAAGTTTCGGTCAGAGATTATAAGCCAAGACTCTGGGTTGGATAATTCTTATCAAAAGCTTAGTTGGGAAAAATATACCCATGAAAGTAATTGCCTGAAGGATATGGGGACTGCCTGTTCCTCACATTTCCTGCATTTCACTCTTGGCTAGACCTGTGTACTTGGAATCATTGGCCCTTTCAGAACTGCTTGTCCTCACTTAGGTTTGTACACTATGTAAATAACCATATATTGATGATGTCAGTCATATGACAGTCTCATCAGTAGGCGTGGGAGTCTCACTCTACCTCTGTAAAAGGATGCTAAGTTATTGCTTATTACATTATCCATTAAGAACATCCATGGAAGAAACTTGTCTTAGGTTTTGGTAGTAGGAAAACTTGGGGTTTTATCTCACAGATATTTCGTATCTTCACGTTCATGTTTTCCTCTTCACTTTCACTGCTAGGAATCTAAGAGCCAAATTCTCAACACACCTTTATCAACTATAAAAGACGTTAAAGTATATGTTTATCATACTTGTTTTTCCTTGGCTTTAATTTTGCTTCCCATGTTTTCTTTGAATACTGACATCATCAAATATTTGTGCTACTGGAATAATTGGGATGCCTACCTAGAGTAAGTTTAAACAACTAACAACAAACAAAACAGTCACATGGAAGAGAGAGAAGTTAATTGTCTTATTTGAACTTCTGAGTTTGTTTCTTGTTTTTGTTGTTGTTTTGTTTTGGTTTTTAGAGCCAGGGTCTCACTCTGGTTCCCAGGCTGGAGTGCAATGGTGTGATCATGGCTCACTGCAGCCTTGAACTCCTGGGCTCAAGCAATCCTCCTGCCTTAGTATCCCAAGTAGCTGGGAAAACAGGTGCACACCACCACACTCAGCTAATTTTTGATTTTTTGTAAAAACAAGGTCTTGCTATGTTGCCCAGGCTCATCTCAAACTCCTGGTCTCAAGCAATCCTCCCACCTTGGCCTCTCAAAGTGCTGGGATTATAGGCATGAGCCACTGTATCTGTCAGCTTTCCTGTTTTGTGAATCCAAATGGAAAGAAAGATACCCATGTACTCTCCCCACTTACTACTGCTGTGAGAGCCCTGGTATTCAGAGAGATGCTGAGAGCTGGGCATAAAAGGAATACGAGGGAGCCAGGAGGGCACAGAAGAGGAAAAGAAAGGATGTCTCAGTCTTTGGCAGCAAGGAATAAAGAAAGTTTCTATGGTCACGTCTAAGAAAAGTCAAGAAAGTGCAAGTCAGAAACTTCTTGCATTAAATGCAAGGGTGACATTTAAAATCCTGACACATCCAATTTGTATAACATAAAAATGTCATCTCCAGAATGCATATTTATAAAGCAGTTTTCTTCATATAACTACAATACTATACTGCATCACCACTTGGCCCACACACATATGCAATTCAAAGTCATCCCAAACCTGTTACTATATTTTCCACCCACACAAGTAAGAGCACAGCTTCATTAAAAAACAAAACACATGAGGAATTTAGAAAAATTGCTTTGGCTGAGTAATATGGTAATATTGCCAATCAAAAGCAATCATATACCCCCAATAAATAGGACTTGAATAATTTAGTAGCTATACAGAGGAAATGTAACTATAATTATGGACTCTCAGAAGCCACTATGCCTAGAGATAGGGTATAGATATGCCTAGGTAGCTGACATGATATCTACTCATATGTGTACATCATCAGTGGGGAAGAGGTTTTATGTCAGAATGTTTAGAAGGTTAGGTACACATGGCAGTTCATTGGGTTGGTTCGAAGACTAGCAGGCACTTCAGCACTTCACGTTACTCCCAGAAGACACCATTTCCTACGTTCCTCTCCTACAACTATACCCATCAGGACCCTCATCTCATGTAGAAAACAAATTTCTCGGGAATTTTTATTATAAATGTTATTATAGTCACATTATCCTTACACACAAATAAGAAAAAATTAGCTACTTTTTTTTTTTTTTTTTTGAGATGGAGTTTCACTCTTGCTACCCAGGCTGGAGTGCAATGGCATGATCTTGTTTCACTGCAACCTCTGCCTCCTGTGTTCAAGTGGTTCTCCTGCCTCAGCCTCCCAAGTAGCTGGGATTACAGGCATGTACCATGCCCAGATAAATGTGTATTTTTAGTACAGATGAGGTTTCTACATGTTTGTCAGGCCGGTCTTGAACTCCCGACCTCAGGTGATCCACCCACCACAGCCTCCCAAAGTGCTGGGATTACAGGCCTGAGCCACTACACCAGGCTGCTACTTATGCTTTTAAAAAATCAAAACTAAGAGAGCTCAGATGAAGAATTACCTAATTTCAATAAGCAGTCATAAATTTAGGTACTTTGAAAAATTTACCTAATATATATACCCTTTAATAATATTAACATTTTCATGTTAAGATTATCTCTTAACAGTGTGTCCTTCACAGCTAATACAAAGTCTAAATTCCCTCTCTATTTCTGTAATTATATGATTTAGTTTAATTCTCTAGTGATTATACTATAAACGAACCATGGAAACGAACTTTATATTAGAGTCAGATTTTTTTTCTTGTTTAGATGTAGGGTCTTGATACATTACCTAGACTGGCTTTGAACTCCTGGGTTCAAATGATCCTCCAACCTCAGCCTCTAGAGTAACTGAAACTATCAGCACATGCTACCTAAGCCTGGCTAGAGTCAGTTTTATTTTTTCTATTTTTTTTTCAATCCTGTTAGACCTACCTCAACTTCATTTTATTTATTTATTATTTTTTTATTTTATTAGAATCAGTTTTTTAGACATGCAATCTTCCTAATTTGATTCCCTCTGTGATCTTAGAGTCAGTATATCCAGAACTTACAATGTATCTGCTCCCCACCCTAAATAATGTGGTTCATACTGCACTCCTGCTTTCCTTCTTGGAGTCTGAAATTTTGATACATACCCCCTGCCTACGTGACCTGCTCCCAGTAAAAGTCCTGGGCCCTGAGTCTCTAGTGAGCTTCCCAACATACCATGTGTTGTCATAGTTTGCTGGTGGAGAATTAAGTATATCCTTTATGACTATTTTGGGAGAGGACCTTGGCAGCTTGTGCCTGGTTTCCCCAAGACTTTGCTCCTGTGCACCTTAGTTTTGTATCATTTTCCTGTAATAGAACTTGGCTGTGAGTATGACCATATGCTGAGTCCTATGAGAGCTCTCCAAGCCAGTCACCAAACCCGGGACCCTGACACAGCCCTTACAGAAATCATGTCATTTCTAGCCTCTTCGGTCTAACTTGAGGAGCCCTTCATAACTGCCTGCACCATCACTTCCGCAAGCTTTACTACTGGATATGAGCATGTGCCCACTACTAGGGTTACATCACGGTTTATGCAGTAGGGAATGGCAATTCTTGGGGGGATGGTTCTCAGCCATGAAAAGTGGTTTCTGTTCTTAGTTCCCTGTTTGTTCTGTCACTTGCTGTTTAATTGTGAGTAATTCACAATCTCTCTTAAAATCCTTACCTATAAAACATTCTCAATATCTGATCTAATTTGGATCGTGTGTGCCCTTCAGATCTCAAGTTGAAATGTGATCTCTAATGTTGGAGGTGGGGCCTAGTGGGAGGTGTTTGGATCATGAGGGTGGATCCCACATGAATGGCTTGGTGCTGTCCTCATGGTAATGAGTTCTCACCCCTGTTGGTTACCAGGAGATCTGATTGTTAAAAACAGCCAGTACTTCCTTTCTTTTCCTCTTGCTCCTTCTCTGGCCATTTGACACCCCCACTTCCCCTTTGACTTCCTCCATCATTGTAAGCTTCCTAAGGCCTCAACAGAAGAAAATGCATCTTGTACAGCTTGCAGAACTGTGAGCCAAATAAACCTCTGTTCTTTATAATTATCCAGCCTCAGGTATTCCTTTATAGTGGCACAAAACGAACTAAACAGTATCTTTACACAAGATCTGAATAAAACCACAAGTATGAATAACATCTGTATGTGTGATTTTGATTTTCAGTAATATCTTACCAGTTTGCTACTGAAAGGCACATTCTATCAAAGTTTATTGTAAAGTGAAACAGCTCTGTTAAGGAAGGCTCATCTCAGTAACATCCATATGGAAAGTAATTTTTACATAGTTTTGTAAAAGTTTCTGGAATCATTAAAAAATTAGACACTTAAAGGAAAATTAGACACTTAAAAAATATGTAATATGCTACAATTTAGGAAAAACATTCAAAATATCTCACCACAAGTAAGTTCTCCCAAATAGTAGAATTGTTTTTGAAAGTTAATGTCAGAAAAAATAAATAAATAAAAGATAACAGCAACATAGTAGTTGGCAGGAAAGGGGTGGAGTTTCTGTCTAGACATTGACACTCATCCCTCAGGATGAAGCAGATGACACAGATAAGAAACAGTCCCTTTCGAAACATTAAGGATCCCTTAGCTAAATTCATAGTAAGATCAAAAGGTTTCAACAAAAGAGCCTATAGGAATACCTCACTGAGTTTACTACTGCTTCTGTATACAAATCTCACTAATTAGTCACTTCTAATACCAATTATTGTTGAAATATATTTTCCCAAGGATCAACAGAAGACAGACAAACTCACTGGGGGACCCATATGTAACGCTCTGAAGCCTTAAATAGGTTCCTGAGCTGGGCTTGTGGACAGCCCCATGCCTCTGAGGTTTAAGAAACATCCATGTTTCAATGAAGTTGGGTGGCCAGTTGTTTTTACAATTACTTATAAAATAAACTTAATTATATTTCATTATACCTCTGTGTAATTTTTGGCACAAAGGAAAATGAATTACAACTTGTGGTTTGCAAAGTCTAAGCATAAGTACACAGCATTCTTGTCTTTAGAGAACATTCAAACTTTTAACCACCTCCTAAATTGAAGTTGCCATCACAACTGAAAGCTGTTTCCAAACGCTTCAAGTGAGTGTCTCCAAAGCGAAGACTTTCGGATGTATTGGTCAGGCTGGTGTGTACTAAGTAAGAAGGACAAAGGGAAAGGTGAGATGACATTGTAGCTAAACTGCATCTATTTTCATTTCTGGATTTTCCTACTAAAACTGAAAAGCAGAGCTTTCAAATCAGAGAAAAACTAGAGAACAATTAGCATAGCAAAGCCATGAATAACAAATATTTTAAGAGGCATCATGCACTAAAGAAGAATTCCACCTTTCCTGGTTGAATTTACATGTGGATTTGTTTAGATATGTATCAAATGCAGAGTTATAATCACTAACAATGGCCACTTCTCACAAGCATACATTAATGTTAGCAATCCAAAAATTTTACCTCCAAATCCTAAGAGAGACTTTGAGCACAGATAGAGACAGATGAAAGATGGCATGCTGCAGTGCAGCAATTTCAAAATTACTGTAGCATTGACTCTCCGGCTTCTATTCCTCCAGGAATATTCTCAGTAAAACACAGAAAGGTAAAATCAATTGCTTTCTATCACATCCAGATTCTCTCCTTAAATTCAACACTCCAAAAATCAAGCCGGGGCAGGAAGCAATAACTGCACAGTATTTGATGGTGTCCTTCAGATTCTTCTTCTAATATTTTCCCCTGGTTCCCAGTGTGGCTTCTCCGCATGACTGTGCAGCATTCTCTAAAGTGCTGTGGAAGTAGATCCCAGCAGCAGAGAAACAGAAAACCTGAAGTGTCATGGGGCCGCCTATGACCACTGGCTTCTGAGCATCATCATTTTGCTTCGTACTGAATTTTCAGTTTAGTTATGTATATATTGTTATCCTTATCTTTCACAATTGTCATATTAACATACACTTCAAACATTTACAGGTAGGGCTACTGAGATCAACACAATAGTTATACTGATTTTTCCCTTTATTTTTGTCAAGGACTGCATTGAAACACTTCCCTTCTGCTTTCTTTCCCTGTATTTCCTTCAAAGGAGTCTGAGCTCATTTAACTTGCTTTATTCTCTAAAGTTCAATAATACTAGTAGGACTACACTGGCCACACCAATAAGGAGTACTCTCCACTAAGCAAATGAGGCCAATTCCAACCAAGCCAGTCCACTGATAGGAGGCTCCAGGGGGCAGGAGGGAGCAGGGCCCAGGAGAGAGCAAAAAATACCATTTTTTGGTCATCTATTATGCTGTACGCCAGCACTTACAGTTCCATTTGTAAACATTAATTTAATCCTAAGTCAATTCTGTGAACGTTGTATTATCCACATCCCCATTTTTACAGACACAAAAATGATCTCAAAATGATCAAGAAATTTGCTTACATCTCCTATAAACCAGTAAGAAGATCACAATCAATCTTATAGAAACATGATCAAAGGATAAGAATAGACATTTCATGGCAGGGAAAGCACATCATGCCCATAAGCATGAGAAGTGGTGGTCAGCACCATTAGTAGGCAGAGAAATGTAAATTAAACCTCAGTGTGGGATAATATCATGCAATCAAAAGCCTCAATTTCATATCCATTCACTTAGCAAAAAATGGAAGTCTCACAATTCCAGATGTTGGAAGGAATGTGAATCCACATTCCAATTAGAGTGAAAATGCAGGCAACCACTTTGGAAAACAATTCGGTACTGTCCCCTGATGCTGAACATTCATACACCCCACAACCCAGCAATTCCATTCCCACCCAAGAGAAACTCTGGCACATGTGCACAGGAGTTACAGTTACCGTCAACAGTGCTGAAACAGCCCTCTCCACAATAGCAAAATTGTGAAGACACTCACATACCCATCAAGAAGACATTGTAGAAATAAACTACAGTATATTTTACACACTGGAATATTTAACAATAGAACAAAACAAATGTTACTACAGCATATCATAATGTAGATGAAACTTCACAATAAAAAAAGGATTATCTACAAGATGTCCTTTTTAAAAACCTAAAAAGTTATAATTTAAATTTCCTTTTCAGAGTGTAATAAGATTGCATGAACAGGAAAGTAAAGGCATAGCAAACATGAAACTCAGGATGCTGTCTCTGTTAGGTGGAGGGAGAGATTAAGACAAGGGAACTGCTAAATGGTGAGATGAAGGTTATCATCAAAAGCCTAGATGTTGTTTTGGCAGGTGGCTCACAGGTGCTTTTTATTTAAGATGTCTAATTAATAAATAAAGAGGAAACACCAATGAGTATGTATCATGAACCAAAGATTATTAGTAATTTAATTTTGTACCTCTGAGGTCCTAAAAACGCCCAAAGGATTAAGATAAAAACAACAAACACAAATCAGGCCCAAGTCATCTAGTGATGCTTCAGGCACTCAAATTCAGACCTGCCAGACTCCAAAGCCCAAGCTCTTCCTTTGTCAACTAGAGATCCAAAGCCAGTACAAGTTACTCCCATTCACTCATGATGATGAATGACCTTGTCTATGGGTTATAGCCAGAGTTGATAAATTTATTTTTTCCAGAAGTGTAGAAAGACAAGAAAGATATTACCAGTCTGACAGAGACTTCTGGGCAACACAAAGTCTGAGCTAAGCTAGAATCCTGGACCTACCACACACTGTAACCAATGTCCCTAGAGGGGAATGTTTCACACTCTCAGCCTCCATTACCTTCGGATGTGAGGATTAGAGATGACAGTGAAGATAATCATAAAGACTGACACTTTTGGTTGCTTATAAGCCAGAGTTTTATCAGCATTTTAAAATATGACCCTCAGTGCAACCTATAAGGCATGAATTACTATTATTCCCAATTTAAGGGTAAGGTGATTGAAAGAAAAAGAGCTTAAGAAATTTCCACAGGGTCATACAATTATGATGAAAGATGGTTGGCTCTCTCCTGGCTCCATGGCCCATGCTCTAAACCTCTAAGAAAAGTGCATACATATGTACAGACACAGACACTCATTTATGGATAGATACGTATGTATACATATACTCTCATGTATAGATACACAAAAATGGGTTAGATACACTCATGCACACCTATGTATAGACACATGTATAGATACACTCATACACACAGATATACACTCAAGCACACATAGACACACACCTGTACAAACATGTATGGACACACATGTATAGATACATACTCATACACATGTGTATAGGTAAATGTGTGGACACATACTCATGAACATGTGTATAGACACAGATGTATAGATACATATACATACATGTGTATAGATACAGTCACACAAATATATAGATACACACATATACGCACATATAGGCACACATGTATATATACACATTCATAGCAAATATGTATACATATATAGATACGTACATATGCACACACACATATACACTCATATATCCATTAGTATCAACACATATTCATACACATTATATATAGACACATGCTTATGCAGACATATGTACAGACACACATTGCATACATGCCCACACTTACATATATGCACAAATACACACACACGAAACGCTGCCTTGCTTTTCTGGCATTGCTCAAGAGATTCAGTAACTGCTGTTAAAACTTCCTGCTTCGTCTCCCTCTAGTACATACCACATAGAGTAGTCCACATGAAAAGCAACTTGCCTATAAATAAATGTAAGCCCCTTGCAGAACCTGGCCCCATGACATCCATCCTGGGGCTGCTTCTCACACCATCATTTGTGTCTGCAGCATATCCTTCTTAGCACAGCCTGTCCCTCCACATCAGTGGCCATAGCAGTCTCTTATGGTACCTCAGTTTCTGCCTCTCTGGAGAGTAAATGCCACATCTGTGAGTGGCCACACAAAGTGAATTTGGAGAAAGCTTAATAGCCAATATTTGAAATCAGATCTTTCTAAATTTCAAAAAACTAATCAAGTCTTTGTGGTGTGACACAACCAAATGAAGAAAAATGTAGCATTATTTACATAAACGTGTAACAGATGAAGTCTAAAATGTAACCAGTGTTTGATGAACAATAGCAATGTAATTATGAAAAGAATATGATTATTACTTATGAAGAATCTGGTTTTACTAAATTTAGCTGTCCATATCTTATTTTTGAGCTTTTCAGATTCTGGGGTTTGCCCTTACAATGTCTAACATAAAGTACTTCAGTGAGTTTAATTTCAGTTACAAGAACAGTCTCTTAAACTAAATTTTAAGAAACTAGGGACTCTAGAGGATAATGAAAAGGTAAATAGGTTATCATTTTCAATATTTTCTGTTGATGTAAGTAAGTAGAATGGATAAGAGTTAGAAATAAAACAAAGAAATGCAAAACAAACAAACTCAAACCTCTCTAAACCCTTAATATCTTGACATATAAGAACCAAATAGTTACTCCTAGGGGAAAAGGTGAGCTTGAGCCTTCTCCAACAGCCACACTCACTCCACAGTTTAGTTCTGCCACATCCCATCAAACATAGTTCAGTTCTTCAATACATAGAAATGCAACTTTTAATAATTAAGGCCAGGCATGGTGGCTCACACCTGTAATCCCAGCGCTTTAGGAGGCAGAGGCGGGTCGACTGCTTGAGCCCAGGAGTTCAAGACCAACCTGGGCAACATAGCAAGACTCTATCTCTACAAAACGATTTTAAAAATTAGCTCAGTGTGGTGACATGCACTGTAGTCCCAAGTACAAGCCACCCAGGAGTTTGAGGCTGCAGTGAGCTATGATTGTACCATTGCACTCCAGCCTGGGTGTCAAAGGGAGACCCTGTCTTAAAAACAAACAAAAAAGATTAAGATGTTGTGGTTTCATATAAAAGGATGAAAAGGAACATAAATAAAGGTTTGGGATGTTCAGTTTTACATTGAACTAGAAACATTTGTTTTATGCTTGTTAGTAGAAAGCCTCAGTAGATTTAGAATTCAAAGACCACAGGGGCTTTTTCTCAAATTGAATGCCAAGGCAGCGGGGCTCCACAGTCACTGCGTTTTGCTGATACATCCTGGGAAATGCAGTGAGGAGACCGTAACGTAACACCGGGCTAGAAAGCTGCCCAACACAGAAAAGGAGAAGCCAACAGAGCAGCTGGGCCTGCTTCACACAATCTGCATCTTACAAAGAGGAGAAAACAGGTAAAGGAGAAGATGGGGGTGGGGGAGACCAAGAACGCGGCAGCTGCCCCAAGGCTGCTTAGAGATCTGTGATTTAAATACATATATCCACAGAATTGAACCACATCTGGAGCCTACAATTTAATTTCTCCCAATGTTAAACAGATGTTTACTATGTAAATGCTAAACAGTATATGTTTAAAGATATTCTAAAACTAATGTTTTCTAAATGTTACAAATGAGACTTGGTATTTTTTTTTACAAGGTCCAAGATGATTTTACCACAGAGAACGTGAGTGCTAGAAAGGACTCATGGAATGAGCTATTTTAGCTCCCACTTTAGAAATGGAAGAAACTGAGTCCCGACGGCTAAGGGACTTACTGATCCTACACAAATCGTTTATGACTGAGCTGGAAGTAGAATCTAAGTGAGTCATTTTCACTGTAAATATTTTAACTTTCCATGGAATGACAGGGGCTGTCAAACAGTGTCAGTGCAAAGTCAGACGCCGGAGTGTCAGCAGAGGCAGGGAGACATGCCTCAAAGTGGAGGCGGCCACTTCCAGGAGCCACTGCAGACCTCACATCACAGCAAGGGCTGGTGACGCAGCTATCACAGGGTAACTGCAGGGACCCTGCAGATGAAACAGCCCTCATCGCTATGGGGGAAAAGTTAGTGAAGAGAGGAGGGAGAAGCTTGGAAAGACTCTGGAATTTCTGAGATGCAGGTGAAGAGATGAGTCAGGAAAAGAACATGTTGTGATTATATTTAGTGTATACTATTTTAACTGTCCAGTAGGGTGGCTGAGACAGTCAGACAACTGTCGTAGAACACAGTAACTGTCCCAACCGCCTGCCAGATACTAGAGAAGGTACTCAACAGATGGTAATTTTCATAACTTCATGCTAGCCTCACAAAATAGATATTCCGCTACTCACTGCATAAAGGAAGTCTGGGGAAGTTCAGTGACCCCATGGCTGACTCCTCATTTTAATCAATGTCTGCCTGATTCAAGAGCTCTTCCCTATCCAGAAAACCCACAGCCCCAGTCATGACCCTTTTATCAGAACCGAAGTCTGCACAGGTCATTAAGAGCAGCACGATTCAAAATCAACAGGCTTTGATTGTTTTCCTTCCTTTTGGTTCTCAGAACATCATATGCATTCAGCTAACCACAAGGGGAAAAGTTTAATTCCAGAAAATTATGCCAGGAGCAGCTTCTTATTTCCTCATTTCTAACATGTACTTTTCTGCAAATACGTCAACATGTCTGAAATCAGGATGTGAAAATGATTCATATATTTAATGCAATAATGCTTTTGCCCTTAAAAGCTGTTATTAAATTGATGGGGCAATCATACCACATCTTAAAATTGAAGAGCCATATATATATATATATATATATATATATATATATATATATATATATATATATATTTTTTTTTTTTTTTTAGATGATAAATGCCTTTGAAACTTTCAGGTTAACCATTTTAAGGGACATAGGTCTAGAAAATAATTTTTAAATGCTTCTTCAACATGTTTCTGACCTGGATTCCTGAACTCCATATGGGTTCTCTACCCATAATGCCACTGGAAATAAGCACAGCCAAGACAGCCAATAGCTGGGTCCTTTACCTCTGAGATTAAATCCCTAAGGATTGGCTAGGGCCTATGCAGGAGCTCCAACATCCCTTGCATGGATTTGCTACCATAGAACGTAACTCATTTGAAGCAAGCGTAATCTGACAGCATTCAATATGTGGTGAAAGTCATATTTTATTGCTTCCATGGTTTCGGTTTAACATTAGCAGATCATCTAGTTTTTATTAAGGACAGTAAGCTTTAACATAAATAGATAGGTCATTTCATAGTTTTACAAAATTAATTTTCCCAACCTTCTTTTCCTCATCTGTAATGTGAAATTAGTGGTACATACAGCATATAGCTGCTCTGAAACTTGTTACACATTAACAAAAATTATCCCCAAATTCTTTGTAGAATAAAATGAGGAATGAAGGAAAGAATAAACAAAAAGATAAAAGGATTGTGCCATGTAATATATGTTCAATAAATGTTAGTTACCTTCTGTGAGTAAAAGTAATGCTTCTTTTTGTTGCAAAGGGAAGAATTTTACCACCGTAATCAACAAATACATGAAAATAACTTACAATCACCAATGGTGAGACATCCCAAAGTATCAAATTATTTCATCTGCTTCAAAGTTAAAATCTGTAGCAAATTAAAACCAAAGACATACAGCTTCAAAGAGAAGATTGTCTTGAATTAAAAAAAAATGAATATACAGCATCAGACGATGACTCAGAAAATTGGATTGCAGGACTGTGTGACTCTTACTGTCTCAGTCAATGGTTGCCTTGTGTAGAGGAGGTACAGTTTCCCAAAAATTAACATAATGAGCGTTTTAATCCCTTCAGGGATTGTCTGATACTGCTCAAGAAAGAAGACTCAGAAACTGAAATTTAAAAGAAAAAGGAAAATAAATAAACACGCCTAAGTGCTGTAGTTAAATTTTAACTTTTGCTCTGAGTTCTTCCAATTTTGCTGATTGGAGTCTGAGTTTCCAAGCTATAAGAAGTGGATGTTGAGTCTTAGCTGTGCTAAAACGATTGCCAATGTGTGATCGTGTCTCTACTTGCTACTGCTACTCGAATAAGTCAGAAGAATCTTAAGATCTTAAATATCGATGTTTTTTTGTTTTTGAGTCGCCCAGGCTGGAATGCCATAGTAGTGCGATCTGGGCTCACTACAAACTCTGACTCCCGGGTTCAAGGAATTCTCCTGCCTCAGACTCTGGAGTAGTTGAGACTACAGGCATGCACCATCAAGTTCAGCGAATTTTTGCATTTTTAGTAGAGATGGGGTTTTGCCATGCTGGCCAGGCTGGCCAACAAGTCATTTGAAACAAATAATGCAAGTCCAGATCTATTTAAAA